TTTACTAGCCTGGGGATGACCTATGTACCTTTTCTAATTCATGGTAAAGATTTTGATATTCCGAAGACTCCTGACGTGATTTTCGCAAGTCCTCCTCCAATGAAGCAACTTTTGCCCGTAAAGAAACCAACTCTTCCTATTTAATCCAACAAGGAAAACAAATTTGATATGTCAAAAAGTTGTGGCACGAAGACAAGATATTTTGCATAATAAAAACTTTCCATGCAACAAACAGTAGATACTATTCATTACAAACAAGACAACACTTCACAAGTCAACAAATTGTAAGTTGAGAAAGCACGTTTAATCTTATTTCGAAGGTTGCAGACCATCCACTAACATGGTGGGCATATGAATTCTCTTTTGCGCTCTTTCAGATGCATACTCCATAGGGGATTCAACATAAGCATATATTTTTATCCAAAAACAAAAATTATGTCGGCTTATCCCTATTGGAGAATGCTTCCATGCAATATAAAAAAAGCCATACCTCCAATGGAGAGCGATTATCTACCCGAAGCTGGTCTTTACACATCCCATCCTACAAAACCAGAGATTGATCATTAATAAACCAATGTTTTTTTTCCCTTGATAGAGAACAGGACTTAAAAGGTTGGCCAATAAATTAAGGGAATTGCATTAGAATAATTTTATCAATGGCTGAGGTATCATCATTCTTTCAGGTAGAAAGTGAGGATTCTATACGAGGGCCCATGCTTAGTCTTATGGCCTTCTTTACCTAAGAAATTTTATAGCTGCAAATTGAGAAATTCATACTTTCTAGCACCCGCCATTATGGGGCAACTTCTTTTAAAAATAGAACATTGGTCAATTTTGATTGGTTTTGCCAGTTTCAAGCAGTCAATTCATTAAAAGGTCAGCTACTTCTTAAGTTGGCTTTTTAGTTTACCTAAAACAAACAGGAAAAATTGACGTTGAACCAACCCAAATATCCCTACACTATGGCATATAGGAAAAGACTTCATCAGTCTAGAACTTTTCAAAACATAATGGAACGTCTCATGAAAAGGGGTAAATCTCCTTTTCCAACCCATGCAATCTTGTATGGGTATTGGGTAAGGAAAGATCAGAGGTTGACTTGAAGGTTTTAACTAGGAAAGAAAAAACATATTCTCTCTACTACCATCTCTAAAATCAACTCATAAGTTGTATTGTTCTTGCGACAACCCATGGCTTCCTCATCATCATCCTGAGTTGGAGCTTTTTTCTCCTCCAATTCAGGCTACAATAACTTTACGTGCGAATTTGTAGTACAAACACACGTGTCTTGTTTGATTACTGTGGATGACAACTGAGTCTGAGTGGAAGAAATTAAAATGAATTCCTCTCCCATGATAGGGATATCCATTGTCTAATCACACATCCTCGCCCATTCTCCCTTTTAAAGGAATCTAAGCACAATGGAGAAGATGTCTAGCTTCATAGGAAATGCACATAACATCACTTACTGAACTAATACAAAGAACCTTTATACTCTCAATAGGACACCTAAAAATGTGTGGAAAGCAGGATGACAGTTTCACAGACATCGTCTATTACCAAAACCTGAACGAGTCTTCACCAAAATTATACAAAGGGTAGCATTTTGATTGACAAATGAAACATACAGAAAGGGGCAAGATGCCCAAAAATACAAGGAGTTAAAAAAAGAAGCTCTCCAATTGGCTAAGGCTAATATCTCATTGAAATGAGAAAATTACATAAATATATAAATAAATGAAGTATATATTTATATATAGATGTGTGGAAGAGAGATCTTGGAGACCATCTTTCAACCAAATAAATAACTCAACTGCATGGTCAATCCATCATAAAGAATTAAATAACACAATTGTTCTGTTAAAGCATATTGATTAGTCAGAACATACCTTAAGGTATACACTGTCATGTTGACCAATCGTAGGTGGAATTGTTGAGAGAGAAACTTGTGATTTCGTCTGATCATTAATTCTTGACCCACGACCTCTATTCGAGAGGGATTGTCCCCTTCCTCTAGCTTGCTTTTTCCTATTTACATCCGTATTCTTTTTGGTCTCTATGGCTTCCACCAGGTTTTTCTTCCCATCATCCACTGCCTGAAATGCCTTTTAAAGTGTTGTCGTGGTTGTTATTATTATTTTTAAAAAGTAAATTTCCAAAGAGATATGAAATTTCATGGTGATACAACTTGCAAGTCAGCACGACTCAGAAAACCAAAAAGAAAATGGAGAAAAAAAAAACAAGATGGAGAAGGAAAATCGGTCAGTTATGTGCTCAAGAAACAAGACAACAAGGTTTGGTGCAGTAATTTGAAAATAGAACTTTTTTTTTTCATAGGCATGAACATTTCATTGAAAAATAGAACATTTATGATCAATTAAAGTTATACTCTGAAATTAGGGTTTAGGGATTGTCTATCATATTTAAAAAATAGCAATACCCAAACCATAACCAAAATAATAGAACTACCTCAACACGCTCAGGAAGGGTTGAATCATTGGCCTCTTGAAGTTTCTGGCGCTTCTGAGTGTTGGCTTGGATGAGGAATCCATCCCCAGTCTAACATACAACATATAAAATACAATATCATCAGATCCAGAATAGGTAATCTCTAAGAGTTCTAGAAACAACGCAGAAAAATTAAGATTGAAAAAACGACTGAGAATTAGATATCCCCCACCTAATAGAAGGAAAGTGTTTGAAAAATGTAAACCAACAGGCAATAAGTAAACATGAAGAGTCTTTCAAAAGGAAAAAAATTGCATGATCCTGTAATGGAACTGACAACTCAATTAATTAAATGATCAAACAATAAGAGTCTTTCAGCAAGCAATAAGCATATAGTTCCATTGTGTAGTGGCATATAATTCCTCTCAATATTCTAAATATGGTGTCCAAGATCCTAAACTAAGACGAGTAAAAACTAGGAATCTTGATTAAAACTGCCTGAATAAGAGTGAAATCTCCCTCCTTCAAACTAAATTATTTTATTTTCCAAGAAGGCAGTCACTTCTTAAACTTTTGAAGTTGTAATACTCGTAGTGCAAACATGAATCTTGGTTTTCAAAAAGAAGAAATAAATGGATATAGATCCTAAATGAGAACGTTCAAGTTAATAGGTCAGCCAAGAACATCAAAATGATATTCTAAGACAAATACATCTCGCTTGTTTTTATCCAAAGTTATCGATGTCAACCTTTCAATAACAGAGTACCACACGAAAATCAACGATCATGCACAAAAAAGTAATACGGAAAATGTGCATCATCCTAGTTGTGAGTTCGTGCATTCTCGTTTCTCACGCCAAATTTCAGTCAATTCCAATAGAAAAAATTAGAGTGGCAGGGTGTTCAATTAGCAACAATATCAACAATCAACTGAAACTCAAATCTCGAAATACAAAAATGAAGCAGAATGAATACAAGTTGCACGTGGATGTTAAATGGAACTTACGCCGTCATCAGAATCACTCGAAGTGGAGGGCTCGATCAAATTTTCAGAGGCGACGAATGTCACAGCAGATGAGACAGAGGTCCTGGTTGACTGCGATTGAGTAGGCGGCTGGATGGACGAGGTCTTACCGACCATACGAGCTTCGAGCCTGGCCATTTTGGCCGGCAAAGATTGGTCCGATTGGTTGGATGAATTGGAGGAGAAATGAAGCAGCATATCGTCCGACATTGCGTAAATGGCAATGCACAAGCAACTTACGAAGAAAAAACGGTGTATTCAAAACCATTCAAGAAAACATGAAATCATGTTTCTTCACTAGTTGACACAATTTGAAGACGAGCTAAACCCTATAGAAATGCAGGTTTCCATTGCGCGCAAATACAATCTGGTGCACCCTTTAGCTACGGGAGCACAGCCATAATCAGGCTGTGTAGAAAAAGCTCTTGCAGCACTGGGTGCAGAGAGAAACCGGAAGAATCAATCAAGCTACTGAAAACAAGTTCAAAGAGTTGACCCAGCACAAAACCCAGCTGATTAAGATCAAAATTGAGACAGAAAAATGGAAGGGGAAATTAGGGTTTTCACAATTACGGTAGAAACCAATGATGAAGGGAAGGGAATTGAATAGAGGGGATAATTGAGACGAACCACTAAGATCAGCAACAACAAAGCTATGGTGTTACTACTAACTTGAATGCTTATGAGTCAAAAGTAAACTTCCAGATGACAAATACAATCAGTATGACTTCAAGACCACGGAAGAAAAAAGGTATGGAGGAGAGAGAGAAGAACAAGAGAGAGAAAGAGAGAGATTGGGATTGTGAGGAAAATGAAAACTTGATGAGAACAGAGGATTTGACCTTCAGATAACTTCACCTTTGCAAATTGCAGTGCTTGTGGAAAGAGATTTACCATCTGCCAAAGAGCATTTAGTGCCCAATGCATCAAATAATCAAAAGCCCTAACGAAAAATGAGGAGCTTGATGAGAGTAAAAGAAAAGGCTTAAGACCAAAACATGATCCAAATATAAAATATAGAAGAAGAGGTCTCTTTATAGAAACGAAACATGATGATGAATTATAGAGTACACCGAAGTATTCGTACCATTTTGCACATCTTTTCTACAATAACTTACTTCAAATATAATAAATTATGGGAGTTCTTCAAATTTGTTTGTAAATAAAAACACATTTTCAAAATACATGAAATAAACAAAATACTAATTTATTTATTTAGATTTTTTTGAAGTATAAATTAAGCGGTTAAAGCTTAATACCCGAATTTGAACTTTATAGTTGTGGTAAGTTCATCGATACAATATGGTACTCAAATGGAAACCTGATGACGGCTGCAATAAAGGAAATATCTAAAAGTCTTAATACGTCTTTTTCTTGCTCCGATAACAAATTAAAACATAGTTTTTATTTTTCTCCCTTTCGAGTGGTAGACATAAGTTAAAAAAACATCGACGATATATATAAAGCTTTGGTTCTAACACAATGTAGATTGGAGTATGCAAATCTCTGATCTCTTGAACGAGATAATACGCTCAAATTGAGAAGAATGTATGAGCTTTTCTTGACATTCAAATCGTATGCTACAATCTGCAAATGAAGAAACCTGCTACAGGGAATCATGTAAACTAAACGAAAAGTTAAATTTGGTACGATCACAAATGAAGCAGTTAACTTGCAATGACCTCAGACTCTGCTTTGGAACCACTAACCAAAAGAACAAATCTTTGAGCAGTACTGTTTTCCAACAGCTACCAATCATTCAAATCAAGTAACACCTTCTACCACCACCAGCCGTAGTTTTTCCTCCTTCCTTCCTTGCTAAAGCCACCAAATCTCGACGCCGACGCCGAGTATCCGTTCCGAGGAGCCATACAGGTCATAACGACATTGGAGTCCCTGGATGTAATGCATGCCTGTCTGTGAATGACTGAAGGCTTGCATAGTGGCCCCACCGAGATGGTGTAACAGGAGAATTCCAGTCATTTCTCATGAACGTGCCATTAAAGAAGGTACCAGGACCTGGATCATTTGATACCCAGCGACCCTTTGTCCTGACTTTCTAGGCTAGTCAGTGTTTTATCTTCATGGTTTATCTTTTTCTCATTATTATGAGCCTTTGCAAGATCATGAGGTGCAGATTTTGACCCCATATGGTTAGTTTCTTCTATTTGTGACATTGATTTCGGATTTGATAACCGACGACTCCTCTTGCCGACCTGAGCAAGCTCCATGAAGTGTAAGATTAGAATCACATTTTGACAGGAAATATAAGTAAATGCATAACAAAATGAACACCTTCTCCACCTAATTTTTCGCTAATAAATCAAACCAGTTGCAAGCTCTTTTATCTACCTTGGTGGTACTCGTGCACTCACGGGCAAAATGCCCTTCTTCACGACATCTATAGCATGTGCTGGGTGATACAGCACCACGTAATCTTGAACATGACTGTAGATTCAGATACACAGAACAAAAAAATTAACCATCCATGTGCAATAAACTTAGAAGCAAGGAATTTCAATCTAAAAGGAACGAGCTCTCTTGTCCACAAGGTTCAAGTATCCTAATGAGTAATGAGGCGTCTAGCAATGCTAAGTGAAAGCAACGTTTTAGACCCCGTTATTATTGATCCTCACCTACTTCCTCACAAGTTGACTCACTAAATATTGAACTCTATGATTACAAACAAATGTTAGCCTCTCATCAAACCCAACTATTCGATCAGCATAAGAATATACGCCGTCGTTAAATAAGTCCAGGAATCTAAAACTTTTCAATGCTCAAGAATCAGCAAAACTCAGAACTGAAGCTAAGAATTTTGGATGGATACTGCCAACTGGTGTGAAAGCGAATCAAGTAGACAGTTGCATATAAAAGTAAGGCATAGACGTCTCAAGAGAATGAAAGGTGATATGAGTATCATGTGAATATTGTATACAGTCGGATGCATAGATGACTTACCAGACCAGTATGTCCAGTCTGCCCACATTTATAGCAGGAAACTATTGTAGTGTCGCTGGTGGAATCCACGCAACATAAATGACCAAATTTCTTGCAAACGTAGCATTGTATATTCTGAAAAAAAAATGTTTTACAAGTCAAGTCGAGAAAAACGATACGGCGTGCAAAATAATTTCTGGAAAGAACCAAGAAAGTACACTACAATATGAAGTAGAAGAAGACCTTAAGATCGTCATCTGGATAAAGATTCTGACAAGAAAACATATCATGACCAGAATTTCTACATTTTAAACATAATTTTAAGCTTGAAGAAACATCCATGTGCTTCTCTGGACAGTCTTTTGCATGATGCCCACCTTTCTTGCAAATATAGCAGTCCCGTGCCTAGTAAGGAGCAGGCTTTCAATTTTCAATATATCCAAATGAGCAAGAAACAAGAGAACATTTTAAAAGGCAACACTCCAACACCGTGCGACACTCAGGCCGATTGGTATAGATTGGGTTAATAACCACTCACATAGGAAAGCCAATCAACATATAGCAGTCTCTAGATTATAATAGGAATTGCAAACTCAGAGACGACGAAGATATTAAAAATATTTATTCCCGACCTTCGAGCAACTCCTTGCATTGTGCTCCACACTTCTACAGACAAAACATGATCTCTTTCGTTTAGCTGATGAGCAATTCACTGCATTATGACCTTCCTCGCCACAAGTATAACATGTTCCCCAGCTTTCCGGAGGATCAAAATATCTTGGACCACGCTGGTAGAACAATATATGAGAGATACAACACTATGCATCCACAAACACTAATTTTTCCATAATGGTAGTTCAGATCAGTTAAAGGGACTCACGAGAAGCTTCCTGAAAACGTTATTATCAGTTGTCTCAGTAGAGTTTGATTCCACCGAAACCCCTTGATCTATCATTCCAGTCGTTTCGAACTTCTCTCCTTCTGTGACAACCATCTAAAATGAAAGGAAACAACAAGACAATGAGAAATACAAAGCTCTAGTAGACATACCCCACGATCTTTTCATCAGATTACAGGAAAGGTTATAATATCTTGCTCGAAATATAAGATGGTTTATACTTTGAAACTAGAGTTATATTTTTGCTTTCTATCAAAAAGAAATGAAAGCGAAAGTAGTAAAATACTCACATTGCTCTCTTCAGTTCCCAGATTCTTAACATTCGTCTTCCTCTGTTTCACTGTCTTCTCACTTTCCAGTTCGCGCCCCTCAGAAGCAGCGGTGATGCCATCACCGCTGGCTCCGCTAGTTCCGGCTTCGGCATCAGCATCCTCCAACGACGATGAAAACAATTCAATAGCACCAATGGCAACAATATCGCCATTACCATCTTGTTCACAGTTACCATCCTTATTATTGCCTGCATCAATAACCAACATTCCAGCGCGCAATTGCAAAGCCTTCTCGACAACATTGAGGCTAAGATCTTCATTGGCCTCATCATCACTGCTCACCGAGTTGGCAGAATTCAAATCCCCGGGTTTCACACCCTGAAGTTCGTCTTCGTCGTCCTCGAATTCGAACTTCCTCTGCTTGCCTCTCCTCCCCATTTTTCAAATACGAAACTGAATCAAACTGCAATCCCGCCAGCCCTAATTTAACGGTGGAGAGAAGAATCTGCGCAAAGTTGGCGGTTTTCGGCCTTGGGGGTAGTCGGGGATTCCCCCAAATTTTGTTTATTACGATTATTTAGTACTTGCCGACGACATGTCGTTCTGTAAAGCTAAGAAGCCGTATCCAATCCTTTGTCGGATCGGAATTCGGTTTTGTCGGTATATCCCGCGTACCCACATTTCTCGCCCCAGTTATGACGTAATAATTCAAAAAAATGTAGTTTGAAATTAACCGATATTTTCATGAATAAATAATGCTTCTTATCAATTATTCTTACGACTCTCATTTAGGGAATATCCATGGATTTATAATCAAAAAAATACCCTCTATTGGTTTGAGGCCTTTTGAAGAAGCTCAAATCAAACCATGAGAGCTTAATGGACAATATCATACGATTGTGGAGAGTCGTGTTTATTTAACACGGTACCAGAGCTACTCCTAAACTTAGTCATGTCAATAGATTGGTAAATCCTCAAATGTCGAACAAAGGCCTCCAAAAGAAAAGGAGTCAACCCTCCTCGAAGGCCCCAAATTTCGTTTAACCTATTTTTCGCTAGTTGATTGGCTCTTTTCTTCGTCGACTTGTTCAAGCAATGTCATTAGCTCTGCTTCGGTAAGGCTCTCAAGGCGTTTCTACCGTCAAATTGATAGGGACATTGATAAGGTCAAAAACATTCCACACTTTTTTTCAAGCGTGATTTAAATTACTCTCAAACATGACCATGATTTCGAGAAGGGAGTGGTCCTTACCTGCATGACTTTGTCTTCGTAGTCACGTAGTTGTTGAGCATATGTCATATCCTTGCTTGAAACTCTGAACATGTACGTGGAAATCCATCCAAGCGTTAAACCCAAAACCAGAACAAGTTGAACAACGTTACCTGCCTGCATAGGATCATACCCCGCAAACTGCAGAACAAAAGGTAAAATGCTAAGGGTAATTGTGGAAATGAATATAAAAACCCGTTCTCCTCAGCTTGTAGTATGAACAAATAGCCAGAAACCAATGATTGCTTGCGGGAGGAACAATCAGTTATTAAAGGGAAAGTGAAATATCTAACCTCTAATCCACTTTCAGTCCAAACCCAAGAACTGTGACACCCAAACCAATTAATAAAACATCCTTCCTCGTGTAGCCAAAAGGTGTTTGCTGCAGGAGAAACAATAAAGTGAAACAGATCTTATTTGTGTTCACCGATAATCCTCAATGATTAATGCAAACATTTGAAAAAGAGATTAATTTACCAGTCCACCGCTCACTTTGACCTGTTATGTATCGCAGTCAGTCTCACGGTTTTGAAACACATCTACTAAGGAGAGGTTTCCACATTACAAGGAATGCTTCGTTCTCCTCTCCAACCGATGTGGGATCTCACAATCCACCACTCTTGGGGGCCAGCGTCCTTGTTGACACACCGCCTAGTGTTTGGCTCTGATAACATTTGTAACACTCCAAACCTATCGCTAATGGATATTGTCCACTTTGGCCAGTTATGTATCGCCGTCAACCTTGTTAGACGAACACGACTCCCCACAATGGTATGATATTGTCCACTTTGAGCATAAGTTCTCATGGCTTTGCTTTGGGCTTCCCTAAAAGGCCTCATACCAATGGAGAGTGTATTCTTTGTTTATAAACTCATGATCATTCCCTAAATTAGCCGATGTGGGACTTTCATCATCCAACACCTCCCCTCGAACAAAGCACGGCTCCCCAGCTCCCCTTAATCGAGGCTCGACTCCTTTTTCTTTTTGGAGTCCTTTGTTTGACATTTGAGGATTTACCAATCTATTGGTACGACTAAATTTAGGGCATGACTCTGATACTCTTTTTCTTTTTGGATCCGTACCTTCGAGGAGGCTTGACTCCTTTTTCTTTTTGGAGTCTTTTGTTCGACATTTGAGAATTTACCAATCTATTGGCACGACTAAGTTTAGGGCATAGCTCTGATACTATGTTAGACGAACACGACTCTCCACAATGGTATGATATTGTCCACTTTGAGCATAAGCTCTCATGGCTTTGCTTTGGGCTTCCCCAAAAGGCCTCATACCAATGGAGAGTGTATTATTTGTTTATAAACCCATGATCATTCCCTAAATTAGCCGATGCGGGACTTTCATCATCCAACAAGCCTCACGGTTTTAAAACGCATCTACTATTGAGAGGTTTCCACACCCTTATAAGGAATGCTTTGTTCCCCTCTCCAACTGATGTGGGATCTCACAATGTACCTTCCTTGGGGCCTAGCACACCGCCCGTTGTCTAGCTATGATACCATTTATAACAGCCCAAGCCCACCGCTAATAGATATTGTCTGCTTTTGGCCCTTTGCGTATTGTCATCAGCCTCACGATTAAATGCATATGCTAGGAAGAGGTTTCCACACCCAAATAAGAAATCCTCCGTTCCTCACTCTAACCGATAAAATCACAATAAGCATTCTATAACTGCATTCACCCTCTACTAAAGAGGCAGACAATATATAGAAGATTCATTGGAATGGAGAAAAAAGAAATCATGACTGATAGTTGCCTTGCCTCGGATTTACTTGTAGGATCGTCCTTGCTGCTGCTTGTGTTTGAAGAGCTATTGTCCCTAGGGACTGTGAGGACAACTTTCCATGTGGCAAAGAATCCTTTCCTTGGGAAATCAAGAACTTCCTTTTCTGACAACTGCCGACTAGTTCCTGTCTCTGAAGAAGAAGATATAGTAATCATATGATAAATGAATGAACTCTTACGGCAAATCAACTTAACTGATCACAATCAACTTGAAATAACCTTGCAACAGTTCTGGTTTTAATCGTCTAATAAAATTACACCAGCATCATCAGTTAACTCTCATTCATCAATAGGTGAAGGATTGAATTGACTCTCATGGTTTATATCCAGCTTGGGCGGGAAACACCATTTATAACTCTCTAAAATATGCTAAGCTCTAGTAGCCCATGGCATTTCATAAGAAAGAGCCAGTATTTGCTTGATTCGCATCTCATTTTTAAGGCTGGAAGTGGTCAAGAATTCAATTTTGGGAAGAAGCATTAGTAGAAAGCAACATATGGCAGTAATCCTTATAGCTTTTTATAGCCTTAACCAGAATAAGAACGGTGAAAGTAATGATTGTTGGGACAAAGAAACAGAGGCATAGAATCTAACCTTCTAAAAAAAACCTCCAGAAAATTTGAGCTTTTAACAAACTTTCTTGGAAGGAAATAGTGCACGGTTTCAACGATTATGCTTCTCTAAGGCGTGTTATTTGTGGCTGCATGTCGGATGTCCCGATCATGCTTGTTTAGGATGTATTGTCCATGTCTGTTCCAAACCTCTTTTAGTTGCTTTCATGTGAGATAAACCTTTGCTATTCTTATTGTGTCAATATGGGGTGTATGTCACCAAAATTATATCTATATCCGCTAGAGCTAAAATACCCCAAAATGTATTAGAAAGGATGTGACTAGTTATCAATTCTTCCTATTCATATTATATGCTATCAAAACTGTGGTTGTTGCTTCTTCGCTTTTAGCATATAACATTAATTTCTTTTAAATTGTTTCCAACGCACTTCCTCGCTCACGTTTTTAAAACATTTCTTTCAAGCGTGACTTGAGACTCAATTATACGTCAAGGTTGTCTGCAAAATCCAACTTCAGTATAGCTAGCTTGTTCGCTGGATTAGAACAAGTGTTCTACAATCGCTGCTCTACTCCCAAAAGAGTGTGATTGTGACACACGACAGGACACAATCAACTTAGCTGAAATATTCAAATTAATACCACGCAAAATACAAGCAAACTAACCATTTCATGATTTCAAGAACTTATTAGTTTTATGAAAATGAAATATCTCATCATAAACAATCGGCAACTATTACATCTTCAAGTAGACGACGACTAAAATTGACTAACCTCTCGCAAAATGTCCGTAAACTCTCGCTCTCTGCAGCAAAGCTGAAGCAGCCGAAATGCCTAAAGACAAGGTCCCCTCCCTTTCACAGAAAAATCTGGAAGTGGAGCATCCATGTATAAAAATAGCCATTCCTGCATCATTTCCCGCATGAAAACCTTCCAAAAATCAGTAAATTAACGAAAACCTAACAGTTTCGAGCATCAAAACATCGAAGTGATGGAAGACGAGACAAGGATGAGATGAAGCAGTGTCGTAAACATACCCGCGCCGATTGGCTGTTTTATGACCAGAAACCGGAAAACTTAATCACGTATCCGTAGGAGAGTAATTACAGCTCAAATCGCTAAGATTACAGAGATTTCAGAAAATCAATCAAACCAGTTGCAGGAGGAAGAATAGGAAGCATGTGAACCTTCGAAGCTGCAGTGGCCGAAGTCCGTTTATGAGGATACAACGGACGATGGGTTCATGGCTCACCTTAGCCGGTAGAGTATAAAATCTACAAATTAAAAATTTTGTTAAATAGGTAAAAAAAAAAAAACTATTAACCTTATATTACTGCTAGCTAACTGTAGTAAATTTTTATGGCACCCGGTAAAAGAAATACACGCCGATGCCGTTTAAATAAATAAATAAATAATAAAAGACCAATTTATCCTTCTATTTATTAAAATAATTAGATAAAAAGCGCAAATCCAGCTAAGTATTATTACGTGCTTTGTTATGTTTAATTAAAAATTAATTAGCTTAAATATGGGTTGGCCATTCTCCCATATCTTCCAAAATCCGCCACCTTCTCGGCTAGGTGGACTCAATTATTGGGTGGTTCACGTAATATTTTATCTAACACTAAACCACTTAATTATATCTAATTTTACTTAATTACAACAATTGATCATTTATTTTTTTAATACAAAATGGCTCAATTTTGTGGGAAATGTGAGCAAAAACCCTCCTTATTTATTTTTTAATGTAAAATTGGTTAATGTAGTCAACAACAGTCATAAGCATACACGTTAGTAACAGTGAAAACCAAAGAGGAAGGTTTAAGA